GATAAAGGCTTTGACCACTGAATCAGATGGTCACTGCAAGTCGCAAATTGTATAGGACACTATGCATGCATTAGATATGCCGTTACGATTCTTGTCGGGAAATCGAATGCGGGGCGCATCCTAAAAAGGGATCGATTGGCGCCAAGTAGTGTAAGAGATCCTGACTAATATTACTCTCTTACATAACTAAACCTTATGGTAGCTACAATAATGCCCGACAAGTCGATTCAGAAGCATAAAAAAGAATAAAGGATCTTCGGGCGTTGATCAATCCCGTCTGAGGGATGCGCCCGCGCATCCAACTTTCATTCAAGATTGAAGTGGCGTATTGAATGGGTATGCAGCCTATACAACGCTTGCGGTGGCCAACCGATGTACAAGGCAGTACTTTTATCCTCCCAGACGAGTATGACACCAATCGACCGATCCGGATGGATGGAGTATTCGAACTCATGGCCATGGGCGTGTGGTCGTGCGCCACTGCCACTACACCACCTCATTCAGAAGCACATCCAGTTGCAAACCATTGTTAAAGTACACAATACAAAATGAAGACAGTGGCTATGAAACATGTGTGAACATGGACGTCACAGAAACCAGAAATTGTCGTGGGACAGCCGTGACTGATTAGGCAACATTTTTCCTTTAACTGCATGTCCATAACTTGTTTTCATATTTCACAGAGACACTGAAACGGTTTGAAAAACATAACTTTGATAAAGTGAAGGCGTGAAATGAATGCGAGATAATAGATGGAAAGATAACAATGAATTCAGCTTTTTTTTTTAGATGGAATAGTAAAGTGCTTCAATCAGCGCTAATTCCGGAGTACGCCACACATATGACTTTACCGGAATCATGGAAACACCAGTACCATCATCGAGCCACGCAGAAGGTAAGATGGACAGAAAATCAGACCTGCTCTAATCTTGGCTACAAGCAGCTAGAGTGATGAGATGAGATGTTGAGTAATGCGTGAATCATTTGGCATCTTTTCGATCGATATCTATCAAAATCACATAATTTCTTGGATTTTTTCATAGGGCGGTATATTGAGTAGTTTCCCTGAAAATGCAATAAGGCAGCTAATCTCTACGAGCTATTCAATCAAACTTATTGATCGATCCTCTCCTAAGATGCGCCACACATTCGACTTCCATTCAAGATAGTGATGGCGTTATGGTATTCTAGCCAACTTATTAACTGATTAGGGGTTTTTAGTCTCCAAGAAAAGTTTGATACCAGTTGGTCGAGTCCAGAAGGATGGATTGACCGAGTGTTTTGAACAAGAATGGAGTTCTTCCTGACAGGAATTGTAGCTATTTGCTGTTCAATCAACTTTAAAAATAAATGGCTCCAATAAGCCAATTCCATACGTTCTCATGCAGAAACCACCTTCAAGTGATCGTGCAGTCAGAATAAGTGGCAGGCATTACAACAGATATTAATTACGTTCATCAAGCCAGCATTTGCGAATGGAAAAAAAGTTGCAAAAGATTGATTAGTGTAAAACAAAACTATAAAAAGAAAATGTATAATGTTTGGTGGCAATGCGGGCAAATTGTGCTGGTGGACATGTTGAATATACAGCCCGCATGTATTATGACTAATCGGTTCCTTTCATCGAATGGAAATCAGACAATAGAAACGAATACGTCGAAATTGGGAACCGATTGACACCGTTACGAAACTTTATAATGGTCGATAAGGGTATGATATGGAGGAAAGGATGAAAACAGGGGTGTAGAATGGAGACTGGAAAATATGGGTATCGATTGGTTGGGGCGTTGCGAGCTAGTAGTCAAAGGGGAGATGGGCAGTTGAATCGGGTTTGTATAATCGATTCGTCGCACGCGGCAGCCGTGGGCGAGTTGCCGCGTTATTGCGTTCTGGCGCTCTTCATACAGCTCGATCAATACGCGTTGATTATTTTTGCAAGTACCCCTATATACCCCTTGGATTCCCTTCTGAGTAGTAGGGGCCGCTCCATTCACCCTACAAAAGCTTCTGACCCTGGCCATACTGCAAAAATCACCGTTGATAAGATCCTTTTTCGGTTACGCCATACATTTGACCTCCATTTTGGATCGCTGTGACATGGTAGTGCATGTTACCTCCACACAACGATTTAGAAAGCAGCCAATGATTGCGCGAAATTCATTGTCCTCACAGACAGCTTCCCTTCACTGAGGGTTCCTTCTCATTGAAGGATTTTTAGCCGGTTGGTGGCGAGGCTACATGGCGCAACCCAGGTGGCGGAAAGGGGGTAAATTGCGAATCAAAGGGATCACCGGCTCTAGCCTAGCTGTGAGGCAACTTAAAAGTTTGCATTCGGAGACTGAGAAGTACTTAAGATGCAGCCCACGATCCCTAGCTTGGCCTACAGCCAGGAGTCTAGTCAGTTCCCACACCATGACCCGAGCTGGTGCTACTCGTAGGTGCTTATGCTCAATACAGTGAAACGAGTTGGCTTCATTCTCTGCAGCATGAGGAGGCTCTAATAAATGCGTTATACGGCACTGATCATTTTTTCAATAAAACTTCCGGTTTCTCTACAAGATACTATTGAAAAGTGACCTGCCTGAGGGGCTCAGGAACGCAGGCTTCTACATCCAATGATCTCTGGAGTGTCTGCACAGGCGCAGCAGCTTTGAGTGGATGCCGAATTCATGGCACATCCTAAAATATGAATTCGTTATCATTCAGACTACGTCAAATTGGTCAGTTTACCTTGACCCGCATTGCTTGACTCGAACAGTCTCCCCAACCCTCTTTCTAGCCTGTTCCAATGCGTCTGCCGTCCGATCTCATGTCCGGTCTTTCGTTCTACACAAGATCAATTAGAGAATGATCTGAAATTGATTCTTTTGACCAAATGATATTTGTTTTAATTATCAGCACTATCAAACAACCACGCCCTCTCTTTCGCGGGATCTCAGAAATGCAGAAACTTCCTCATTTCTACCCGTTCGTCTAGCATCATGTACTGATCCCCCTCCTGTTTCCCGTCTATGTAAGTTTAAATCTGGTATATATAATAAAATATCCTGAACCATGATACAGGTAGAAATCTGAAGACCGCTTATGATTGGTCACAAAAATAATTACCCAATCGCAATCCACCCATCACACGCGCTCTCAACGCAACGGGAGACGGGCAGTAGAACGATTTTGTTTAATCGATTCGCCGCGCACGCGGCTGTCGCGGACCGTTTGCCTCATTATGAGAGGGTTCTATTGTTCTTCATACAACTCGCTCAAACGCTATTCGATTATTAATTTTGGCATGATTCTACTACTATTTTTGTTTCTAAATTTCATAGTGGCTGCTGCATTCTGCTACATTCCTTCGCGCGCGGCGTCTCTCTTGCCGAGACGCGACAGTTTCGTTCCTGCACCACACCCCAACGCAACGTAGAACAGGCCCTTTCTGCCACATCAGTGCAAAGTATGCGGCTCATCAAGTGCCAGCAGTATGGGCAAATGCATTTCCCATTTCCATAACAAAAAAAAATTAGAAAAAAAACGATTTCGGTAGATTCATATCAAATGTGAACAATATGGCTAGCTAAGTGAACACATACAAAAGTAAAATGACTCAACTCACACAAATTTTTATTGTATAATGTATTGTTGTAAATGTGAGTAGGTGCACTTATTTCCTGTAAACAAAAAACAAACATTCATATTAATTTTATATCAAATGCAAACAATACAACCAATTGAACTTCAAAAAAAAAATGTAAACGGATACACAACATTCACAAGAATGCATTTAACATGAAGAAAACATGCCTTCAGAATCAATCAATACTATAGGCGATCATCAATAACTGATATGAATTTATTGATCACAGAGACAACAAATTTGGACCATAGCCAACAGGTGTGCAGGACATCTTAAAATCCCAGCCGATTCTCCAGTGGTACTCTGCGTCCCTCTCGCCCTACCCCCGTATCTCTGTGATCTAACATGCCCGATTCCTTTTGGATCCACTATAGCGAAGAAGAATTTATATGGAAACATCATTTTGTACAAAAAAGAAACAAGAGCTGTTGCGAAAAGGCCAAATAAAAACCCTCGCTAAGCTAACTGTTATGAATGAATTGAGCCGTATTTTGACAGTATTATTGCAGATCAATTGAAAATTACAGTTTTAAGAGAAATCTGTCGCCCGAAAGCATTCAACCATAGCAAGACGATAAAAATGCAGATTGGATATTATTAGATCTTAGATAACAATCATAACAACGTTATGAACGAGAGTAAATACTTTTTTTCTAAAATATATGCATAAACATGACACTTTTGAAGGATGGTAATGCTTGTAGGGTGAATACTGACAATATAATAATACTAGATAAAGCCTAAAGATCGAACCCTTTCAGAAATAAATAGATAAACATCTTATCGGAGTTCAAAACTCCATTTCTTCATCCGATTCTTCACTTCTTGGTACCTCTTCATCAGAACAATACGCACGTTTTCTACTCATATCGAGTGGCTCTAACTGGTCCTTCGTCGTGGGACTGCCGGTGACTTTTTGCTTAAGAAAAGTAAATTTGATGCTAATTCGGGACCGCAGTGTACTACTAATTATCATTTAAAAATGCAAGATTGGCAAAATTCAGCAACCATATTGGCTAGCACAACGAATGCCGAATTCGCCAACAGCGAAATCTAATGGGTAGCGGGCGTTATACCCGAACGGCAGGACAATAAGGTAACGCTACCAGCCAAGACGCGGCGCGCTGCGAGCGGTCGGGCATAGCGCCCCACTCCCAAATTCGATGGACATGGGCACATACTCACAATAGAGTTTGGCGATCTACAGCAGGTTCATTCCTGATAAGCGCTAGTCGAGAAAAATTAGCGTATTGATAAAGGGCCGTCTACCCATCGCATCCAAAGAAATTGATCAAAGATAACACCCAGAGTGCACCAACCAATCTGCGCCAATACACAATATAGATAGTCGCAGATGAAGATGCCAGGTTATTCACATTTGTGAACTGGAGAAGCACAAGATGAAAAAGTTCCAACAGAAAGCCGTACTGAACTGCTTTGGGAGGGCATACCATTGAGGACTCAGGTCTTCAGGCTTTCCACTGAATTTAACCCTACACCCTGGTATTGTTTCCTTTTCCTCATTCCCTGGGTTGCCAAGATCGCCGCCCATCCAATTGACGTACCCATCCCATTCTAACAATAGATATAGGACACATACCGCATTGTAGGCGAAATCTGGATCCCAGAAATCGCAGTCAGGGCGCTCGTCCTACAAGAAGTAACGTCAGAACCGCCGACCCATTTACTCTATCACTACCCACTACTAGTTTTAACCTCCAATGAGTAAGACTGAAATAGCATGCAGAAGAACGAACCCCAAAAAACAGCTGCTCTATACTATAAACGTCCGGAGCTTCTGAGACATATTGAGGATTGCCAGTCATTCGCCTTCCATCCTCCGACACGGTAGTCACCACATTGATTGTTTTGTCCAACGCTCGAAAGTATTTATCGGCTTTTCGATAATGCCGAGACGGAGAATTTAGCAGTTCACATATTCTGAAAAAATCGTGTAGACTATTTCAAAATGCAAAGATAGCTCTACCTATTGAGAACTTATTGTAAAAAAAATTATCGGAATAATAAGGGTTCAACAGCAGGACATTCGAAATTAAAGACTTTCAAATTTTCAACCTTTGTGAACGTCGAGAGAAGTATTTATCGAAAAAATCGAAGCCTAATTAGAAATTGGTACCGTCAAAGCTTGTTGCATAGTAGGCAAACTGGATCAACATTAAAAATTTGGGCTAATGACGACTGGGATCCCACAAAGTAGAAATGAAAAGCACACCGAATTATTACCAGTTCCAAACTTTCATCTTTTTTTTTCAATCCAAAGAACAAATTAATACTAACCTCTGCCAAGTGAATGGTGCAGCTTCGAATTTGGCAGCTTTCTCCAAGATAAAGTCGTACATTCGTTTGTTCTCAGAGCCTTCACTCATGTCAACCGAATCAGGNTTGACGATGCCACCGGACCATTTCATCCATACATGACTGAAACTGCTCTTTTTCAACAAATCAGAGAACTTTCTCGAAAAAAGAGAGTAACACAACCAAATTATAAACAGAGAAAAAAGTGAGAACATAGTAAAATTACAATTTGAATTCTATTTTCTCTCCTGTTTGAACTATGTAAACATTCAAAACTAATGATTGCTAAATAAGAACTGTTTTTATGATGATTGATTATATGGTAAACAGACCAGCACCTACTAAAATAAACGAACCCGACCAAACTGTCTCACTACCGATCAAATAAGTGAAAAAGCTGCCCACAACTTTACAGTGCTTATTTACAAACAAGCTCAGCAAATTAAAAGTAAGTTACGGAAAAAATATGTGCTGTGTTCTGTAATCCATTGTAATGTAAATGCTCAAACGATTGTAAATCTCCATATGAATTACCTTGACTTTCCACAAAAATGCAGGTCGTACAAGTTCCCAGGGCAATCGTGATTTGCCAGTTTCTGTGACATTCTCGAAATAGACCTCTATGAAATGATCTGGATGAGTCCGTAGAGGCATAAAAGATCGTCGGACCAGATCAGACTGAAATCAAATTCTTTAGATGAACTTTGAAGCTTCAATGATAACATTCTCACCAGAACACTCTCATAATGCGCGGCATTTGATTAATAAGTTATTGATTTCAAAATTAATCATCAAATCGACAAAAAAAAANGTAGGTTCAATAACTCACCTCTTTTGGAACTACAAACTTCTCTAAAGCAGCTTTACATTTCGGCAATGGATCAGGCAAAGGCGGTAATTCAAACTTTAAAACGTCTTCATTATATGTGAAACCCTGCAAAAAGAAAAAAGCGTCAGTCGTAGATCAACAAGAAAACTTCAAACTAATAAATTGAAAAAACGGCCACTCACTTCAAATCCTTGTGTTTGTTGTGGAGGCTTTTCTTCCGTAGCGGTATTGTTTCCATCGGCCGGATTATCAAGAGGCTTAAGCTGTTCATCTTCATTACGCTGACTCATAACAGACTATAAAAGCGACTGAGTTTTAAATCAGCTGAAATGAGCCCAGAGAAATAAAGGATAATCATCACATGAAAAAAATCGATAAGTTACCCGCGACACGGGGAAAAGCCAACCATAAAGCCGTCGAAATTAATATTTATTTCAAAGATGATGACACCGTAGATAAACAAAAACTCTATAGTCTAGGAGCCTGAGGGCCGACAGCGATCCTCGATGTATGAAGATCAAACGACTATTGCAACTGCTTTGCAGTGCCTACAACGTGTCGACATACGGGACCTCATCGATATTTCCATAGCTGGACATGGAAAACTTGCTCGAAAGCTTCTTTGCCGCTGCCTCAACCTCACCAGCAGTAACCTTAACAAGTTTGATTGAAATTGTACAACAATACAGTAACAGAATCTTTTTCTATGCAGAACGAAACAAACCTGTTGGATTGCATCAACAATATTATCTTCAGTTGTAAGTCCAGCGAGAATCTGAGTAGCACGATCAACAGAGGTTGCTTTGGAATGAGCAGCTGCCCGAAGCAAATCATTGCTGGCACATCGTTTCGCGGCTAAAGAATCCGAATGTTGAGGTGGTAACCAGTAAAGTTCGAGCTTGAAGAACTGTTACCTTCGAGATCACTGCATTTGTAGTTCTTGATAGCTGAAGCAACTGAAGTAACTGCTTTAGCAATGTGAGCACCATCGGCTACGATGTACACTCCGGCGAGGCCAGCATCTTCATAAGCTGCTTGGAATGCTGATACTCCACAACCATCAGCAACGGCACGAAGAGCAACTGCATTTCCTGGGGAGTCAGAAAATCTGAATAGAAAAGTTAATAAAAAANAAAAAAAGCTGTAAATTCTCTGAAAACTGATCTTGGGACTTACTGTACAGCTGCGGATCTTCCAAGGGACGAGAGCAGTACTGCCTGTACAGCCATCGCTTTGGCATTGCTCAACGGTGCTCCCTCACCAGCAAGTAATACATGCGCCATTGAACCACCTGCAGGGCGACGCCACTCTCCACCCTACAGATGAATATCTTTCAGACCTGCTGAAGAATTTCAGTTGAGACACTAACCTTATAAGGGCTAGGAACAGGACTGATCTTCTGTCCGTTGGCAATGGGAGCGTGGCTATCGCCGTAAAGTACCATTCGTTCATGTTCAATGTTTATTCCGTACAGGATTGCTTGACCAGTCGTGAGATGCTTGGCCTAGAACAGTTCTGATTGATGTCGTTGGAAAACACTGGAACATGTTCGAAAAGTAAAACTTACAGCAAAGTCAACCAGTGCTTTGTAACTGATTTTACCGATCGAAGACTTTGGAGCATAAACAGATCTTGCTAGCGGTCCATTACGGTAAGCAGCACGATGTAAATCCTCATAAGCCACATCGTAAGGATGCTTGTATTGATTGTCAACTTGAAGACCAGGAACCGTTATCTGTATAACCAAACAACTTGAATTTAGAGCCATTTTTGAAAAAAGCTTAACAAAATCTGGTGGAACTCACATCCTCAATCTCCCATGGCTTGAATGCTGGTTGTGCAATGTGGCCAAGAATCGAAATACCGACAGAGGTTTCGTCTCTGGGCAGCGCCAGTGATACCCCATAAACATCACGCGTCGAGAAAGCGTTCTACAAAGAAAAGTA